TAACTTGGAAAGGAGCTGGAAGGGTTATACAGGGGAAGAGATCAGAGAGGTGGTATGAAAAAACAGAGGGAAATGTATTAGTTTGAAAGCCTTTCTAAATATACATATATACACATACATATATACATATATATGTATATATATGGCACTGAATCTATTCAGTGGCACTCCTGTGTATCTGTTTAGGGCTGCCCATTTGGTATTAGTTAACCTCTCAGGGAGCTTGTCCCTGGAGAAAATGGATTCTCCCTCCCCCAGCATCCATTGATTGCCTGTAGCTCTTCACCTTGAGATGGAACCCTGTGACATTCCCCTCATCCTCCTTGGCATGTCTCCTGGTTTTGTCATTGAATAGCTCTCATTAGACTATCATACTATAGAGACTTCATTGGAGAAGCATCCCTACCATGTTTAGAATGCATTAACTAGCAGCAGGTGTCTTGTCCCTGTGGCTCTTACAATCTTTCTGCCCCCTGTTTCACTATGTTCCCTGAGCCTTGGGTGTAGAGGTTGCATTGTAGATGTGTTACTTAGGGCTGGACGCCTTGCAGACACTTATTCTCTTCATTTGACTAGTTGTGGAACTTTGTTATAGTCTCCATCTGTTGCAGAAGAAGCTTCTTTGATGTGGGGTGAAAACTGCACTTGTCTGTGGCAATAAGGATACAGAACCATGGGGGAAGAAGGAGTGTGAAAGAGGATGATAGTAGGAACATGCCATTACCAAGGAGGAAATGGTGAAAATGGGGGTACTCTAACCAGTGAAGGAGGAGGGAGGACTACATAGAGGGAGAAAGAGAGGTGAATAATACATAGGTGATAGGAAAGCAAAGGGAAATGTATTATTTCATAAGCCTCCTGAAAAATACATAGGCATTTATATATGTATGAGCGTCTATGTATATAGCTGAAGGCTATATATAAAAAAAATCACAGTGCCAGGTAAGGAACTCTCCCTTTGAGTTGCTGATCGGAGTAGTTCAAGAGACTCCCAAAATTACACAGGCTATTGCCACAGCCCTTGATTGCCTCCCAGAACTTGAAGGTAAGATGCTGTTACTGAAGACATGACATACTTTGGACACAGGACTTGGAGGAATTGGGCTAGAACTGACTTGAAGACTAGCTCTCATAGTATCAGAAGACACTATACAAGGAAGAAGCCAAATCAGTGGTCCTGCCCAACTGTAGAACCTATGAACCACAACAATGACTGGCCTGGAATCTTATATCTATTTGTGCAATAGTGGCACTTTTATTCTGGGGATATTCAACAGCTGTCTCATTGGACTTACAGCTTGCTCAGTGGGAGGGAATCCATGTTTGGTACTATAAACATAGCCAAGTATACCTGACTGGAGAGATCGTAGAGTCTAGTGAAGAGCCTACTGTGGCCACTTTCCTAGACAAACCCAAGTTCTTACTATTCTAAATGTGTGTCCTTATGTTCACAGACAAGGGCTTTTATGATCTACTGCAGTGGGGGTATCAAGTGGCAGGCTGGCTCCTAGGCACGTCCTTAATTTTCTGTGTCTCAGTGATGGCAGTAAATTAGAAAGCATAGCTGAAGAGTCTGGTGTGGAAGGAGAGTAGCAGCAGGGAGTGGGGGAGCCCCTCTGCTCAGGACGGGCAGGGGACAAGACACAAGAGTAACTGGTTGTTTCCTCCCCTCCCTTTCTCCTCTTCCCTCATCTTGCTCCTCCTTCCGTCTTCCTTCTTTTTCTGTGATGTTGGTGGAAGTGTTCATCCTCTGAGCTACATCCCTAGCCCAAGACAAACAAGTTTCTAGTTCTGGTTTTGGTACTAAATGAGCAGAGAATGAGAGAATTTAGGCAGGGATTTGGGGTGTAACAGTGTATAAATTTAATGCAGCAGATGATCCATTTTCCACTGTTACTATTATTTTGTTTGTGTGTATGGTATATATATGTTTGCCCATGTATGTACATGTGTGGAGGCCAGAGGTTGACTCTAAGTATCTTCCTCTATTGCTGTCCTCCTTAGTTTTTTAAAATATTTTATTAATTACTTTACTTTTATTTTATGTGTATGAATATATTGCCTGCATGTATGTAAGTGCACCTGTATCGTGCAATGCCTATGGAGGTCAGAAGAGGGGGTCAGATTCCCCTAGAAGTGGAGTTATGGACGGTTGTTAGCTGCCATGTGGGTGCTGGGACTTGAACCTGGGTCCTCTGCAAGAGCAGCTCGTGTGCTCTTAACTGCTGAACTGGCTCTCCAGCCTCTATCTTAGTTTTTTGACACGGGATCTCACTGAACCTTGAACTCACCATTTCAGCTATACTGGGTGGACAGTGAGCTCCTGGGTCCTTCTGTGCCCCCCACATGCTGGGGTTACAAGCTTCATGCCCAACTTTTATATGGGTGCTGGGGATCCAAACTCAGGCTTGTCGGATAAGCACTTTACTCAGTGGATTATCTCCGCAGCCCCTTACTGTCATTAAATATATGAAAAAAAAAGACAGAATCTGTAGGACAAGCTTCCCTTGCTGACCTTGGAATGAGTTAGGATTCATGTTATTTTCGTAGCTACATTTTCAGACTTGTTTTGATAGAACACTGTAATTGATAATTGACAGTCAGCCCCTCCCCCTCTGTGGTCCTTCTTTTGCTAACTCAATCATCTACAGGCTGAAAATAACAGCAACAAAAAGGACATGTTTGAAACATGTAGTCTTTTCTTTTCATTATTTCCTGACATTATATTGTTAGGTATTATAACCAGTGTAGGAAATGACTTGAGATTATGGGAGGATATGTGTAGGTTATATATAAAGGTGCCATTTCATATAAATAACTTGAACAGCCTGGGATTGGGGTATCTGAGAGGGACCTGGCCCCAGTCTTGAGGATACAGGGGCTGCTGTATTTACAGTAATTTGTCCACACATGCCAACAGTTTTGTCCACATATTATATAATGTTTTGCTTACATGGCATTACTCCTTACCCACCTTTGCCCCTCATGGTATATTGTGGATTTCTTCCCATAGCATCTCTGGCTGAGTGATTTTAAGTGGCTGAGGAATGTACATAATCTATAAAGATAGACTTCACAGTGATTCTTGATTTGTAGTGAATATTCTTTGGGTTTGGTTTCCCTTGGGCAGTGATCTCTGTGCACATTTCTTAAAGTGGGACTGCTGATCACAGGCTCAGAGCACCCCACAGTGTGGTACATTGGCTGTGCTCTGAAAACATCTGCTGACTGATAGTTCTGGCAACACCATGTTACCAGCCCCTGCCCTGCCACCCGTTCCTATGGCAGGCTTGGTTAGTCTTCTTAGCATTTGCCAGTCTGATAGAAATTAAGTTCCACTCTGTCATTTTGCTTCTGGTTTCAGCGACTTATAAGAGCCCTTCCTATAAAAGGGATATTCTATCTGGATGCAAATTCTTTTCCTTCAGTGTTTGTGTTTCATATTTTAAGAAGTATTTATTCATTTATTTACTTATATTTGTGGGTTTGGGAATTGACCTTAAGGCTTCACATGTGACAGGCAAGTGCTTAGCCACAGAGCTACAGTCCAAGCCCTCTTACCACTTCTTATTTTGAGAGTGTCTCATTGGGTTGCCCAGGCTGACCTTGAACACATTCTGCAGCCTGGGCTGGCCTTTTATGTGCCATCTTCCTGCCTCAGCCTCCAGAGTAGCTGGGATTATAGTGCCACCAGGCTTGGCTTGTGTGTTCCTTTTGATCAGAATAATTTAAATTTTAATACAGATATTTTGAGTAATTAAGTTAATCAAGCATGCATTTAAAAAGTTTTAAGCTTCAGTTAGTGAGCACAGTTGCAGTATATCACAGGTTCACTCTATTAGTAACCCTTGATTCTTTGAGGATGAGTCTAGGTTTTATGTTTTAAATTTTAATATTATTTTTTGTTCATTTTGTTTTTTGAGCAGTCTTTCTCTGTAACTCTGACTGAACTAGTGTTTTCTATGTAGCTGGCCTTGAACTTGTGGCAATCTCCTGGATGCTGGGATTATAGGAGTGTTCTGTCATGCATGGCAAGTCTGGGTTTTAGATACAGCCTAAAATTGTTTCAGTGTTAGTGAGCTGACTGGGTGGCATTATTTCCTAACTGGGTTGGCTGTAATGTGTGTGAATGAAGTTCGAAAAGTTAGATTCCCAAACTGAAATATATCAGACAGTAACTGCATTTGCCACTTTTCTTGTTGCAGCATCAAAATGCCTGATAAACCTTTCCTCCCTCACATTCACATGGCTTTCATTTTGGCTCACAGTTTAAGAAGAGACAGAGAGCTGGGTGTGGTGGTGCACATCTTTAATCCCAGAGGCAGGTGGATATCTGTGAGTCTGAGCCCAGCCTGGTCTACACAGGGAGTTCTAGCTGGGGCTATAGTGAAAGATTTATCGTCCTCTTTTTTTTTTTTTTTTTTAAAAAAAAAAAAAAAAAAAAAAAAAAAAAAAAAAAAGAGAGAAAGGGGCAGAGTTTGTCATGGCAGGGAGGGCATGGCAGCAGGTGCAGGAGGCAGCTGGTCACATTGTGTCCATAGTCAAGAACCGAGAGCTGTCAAGAACTGGGGCCCAGCTTTAAAACCTCAAGACCTGCCCTGAGTGACTCAGTTCCTGCAGTGAGGCTCCACCTCTTGTAGGTTCCACAACCTTCCAAACAGCCACTGGCAGACCAGGTGTTCACACACATCAGCAGACAGCCCACATTCAGCCCACCACACCATCGAAAATAATCCCACTTTTCTTGGGAGGTAAAAGGTGACAGAACTGTAGATCTGATAATTTGTAATTTAGAATTTCAAATCGCTGATAGAGTTCCTTCATAGATGAGTTGTAAAACCTGAAATGTTTTCATTAGGCTCAGTGAGGTCTGAACTGGAACTTGAACTTCTCAGTTTCATTCTGTAGTATTTAAAGCTTCTGCATTTATTTCTTTTGCTCTCTAAGAATGTTTAATTTCATAATGAAATGAAAGAGTAAAATATAAATCAATTTCAAAGGTGTAAGGTGAGATTGATGTGAGACTGATGCTGTGTGTAGCGGGATGTGTTCTGGGAGTCTCTGTGGTAAATGGAGCTGTACCACTTGTGTCTTACGAAGATTAACCTGGGAGGGAGTGCTGCAACATCCGTTTTGGAAGGACGCCCTCCGGAGACATGACCAGGACTCTGCCTCTGAGGACTCAGGCTTCAGGTAGTGTGAACCCTCTCACTGTGGGGCCCAGTTACTGAACACGCATGCCCAGTACTGCTCTATCCGTGGCTCTCACTCTTCTGCTTTCCAGTGGGAGGATGCCCAACATGTGTTTAATTAAGGTTTTATCATGAGTTTGGTCATGATATTTTGTGTTCCTGACTCTGCTCATTTTCTGATCAGTGTTTTTCAGTCAGTGCTGTTGTGTGGTAGTCACTGCCCAGCTTGCTCAGTGCACCTGGCCGCCAGCCTGCTGAGTGCATGGTGGGATGCCATTGGTCCTGTCCTGGTTTGCTTTATGTTGCTGTGATAAAACACTGACCCAAAACTGCCTTGGGGAGGAAAGGGTTTATTTCATCTTACATGTTACAGTCCATAATGGAAGGAAGCCAAGGCAGGTGCTGGATCAGGGACCATGGAGGAATGCTGCTTGCTGGCTTGCTTCCCTGGCTTGCTCAGTCACCATTCTTATGCAGCCAAGGCCCACCTGTCCAGGGATGGCACCACTCACAGAGGGCTGGGCCTTCCTGCAGCATTAGCAATCAAGAAAATGCTCCACAGACATGCCCACAGGCCAGTCTGATGGAGGAAATTCCTCAGTCAGACTCCCTCTTCCCAGGTGTGTCAAGTTGACAACCAGGATTAGCCATCACAGCTTCCTTTAAGTTAGGTGCAGCCATGTTGCTTCAGCTAACAGGTGTGAAGTGACGCCAGGAGCCAGTGTGTGACTCACTGGCATATTTTTTTCCTGATGATCTTGTAATTGGAAAGGAGCGTGTCAAAGTGGAGTTGCTGTTGGCCTGGGCGTAGAGGAATCGTCATGACCTTGGCTTTCTTGCTGGCCTTCTACGGCTGGATGCAGGAGTGACCTCCAGGTGAGGTGGTTCCAAGCCTTGAAGAGGTGGTTGTAAGCCAGCCCCACAGGATCTAGCTCTTCCTGCCTGGTGCCTTTCATTTTCATTATAAAATCTTCTCAGTCTTGGACACTTTGCACAGTGATGTTTTTGGAATAGCAGGTGGAAAGCACTCGAATGGGGTCAAGTTTTATCATTAACTGTCTTTCTCAGTTTGCTCGCTGGCAAATGACTATCAGCTTTTTATTTTCAATCTTGCCAAGTTCAGTGTGTTGGGCAGAGAAGTCTGATTTTTATTTGTGATCCTGAATTTCTGTGGCCCTGTAGCTGCAGCCATGTTCTCATCATCGGACTTGGCTCTGTGGCTTCAGAGATGCTGAAGTTGGGCTCCCCCTTCCATCTACTTCTGACCTGGCCTGGCGTCAGCACTGTGCAGAGAAGCTAATGCTCAGGTGACCTCAGTGAGCAGGGCTCTGGACCTTGCCTGTCAGTGTCAGCAAGCCTCTAAGTGTGTGTGTGTGTGTGTGTGTGTGTGTGTGTGTGTGTGTGTGTGTGGGTGAGAGAGAGAGCGAGAGAGAGAGAGAGAGAGAGAGAGAGAGAGAGAGAATGTAGCTCAGTTTCCTGGAATCACAGCTCTGCAGCCAGAGAAAGGAGTTGTCTTTGAGGGTTTCAGGCAGTGGCCAGTAGCTGCTGCTGTCCTCAGCTAGTGGTTGCAGGATTACCTGGAGACTCAACTCAGCAGGATGAGCAGGGAAAAGAAAAATGAGGAAACCAGGGGATTCCTCTTGTCCTCTGACACCCTTAGGGACCCCTCCCTCTCTGTTCTTGGGACAGAAACAGCCCAGCTTCTCCTGGAGTTCTTCCCTCCTGCCTGTTGCCGTTGACTCCAGGCTGAGCTATACTGGACGGTAAACCTACTGCTGGTGTCCGTGGTACCTTGGCTTCTGGTGTTCACCTCAGCCTGCCTGTTACCTACCATTTGTTTTTCAGGGAGGATTTTTATTTATTTATTTATTTGGTCTTTTTGAGACAGGGTCTCCCTGTAGCCCCAGCTGTCCTGGAACTCAGTATGTAGACCAGGCTGGCCTTGAACTCGCAGAGATCCGCCTGCCTCTGCCTCCCGAGTGCTGGGATTAGAGGTGTGAGCCACCACACCTGGCCTTATTTATATTTTATATATTTTATTTATTATTTTTATTTTTCTATGTGTATGAGTGTTATGCCTGCATGTAAGTAACTGTACCCGTGTTGTGTAATGCCCACAGAGGACAGAAGAGGCTGTCAGATCCCCTGGAACTGGAGTTATGGACAATTGTTAGCTGCCATGTGGGTGCTGGGATTCGAACCCAAGTCTTCTGCAAGAACAGTGTTCTTAACTGTTGAGCTCTCTCTCCAGCCTTATTTATTTTTATATTTTATTTATTATTTTTCTTTTATGTGTATGAATGTATTGCCTGCATGAATGTAAGTGCACCCATGTTGTGCAATGCCTGAAGAGGTCAGAAGAGGGTGTTGGAATCCCCTGGGGCTGGAGTTATGGACAGTTGTCAGCTGCCATGTGGGTGCTGGGAATTGAACCCAAGTCCTTTGCAAGAGCATCCAGTGCCCTTAACTGCTGAGAAATCTCTCCAGCCCCTCAAAGAGGACTTTTAAACTAATGCCTCACATCTAGAAAGTGTTCACTGTAGCTACTCAGTGAAAAACTGTTCTTTTCTAGTTCCAGGTCTTCCTCAGATATAACACAGCGGGGTTAATTATGGTTTACCATCTTTAGTTTTATACACAAAACCCTAGAGTCTCAGAGTAAGTTTGATTTGTTGGCTTTCTCCTCTTGAGCAGCAGAAATATCATGGAATGTTCTGGACCACATCATTCCAGAGAGCTTTTGCAGAGCCCTCAGAATGTACAAGCCAAAGGACAGAAGGCAGGTCAGCGGCTGAGTCAGCCTTTCAGGCAAGGTAAGCCTTCATATAAGCATGTGCATGCTGCTATGGCCCCATCCAGAGCCCCTCATCCACATCTGCTTTCTTTATGTATCTCTAGGTATGCTACATTCCTCTCTCTTCTCATGATGTTGACCTTCTTTATGGATAATATGTTGCTTTTCTGCCACAGATAATCCAACTGAGTTGCGGCCAAAGAGTATCTCCCAGGGCCAATTGAATGAATCCATTTTTCTCCTCAGGTATTTGAAATCAAATTGTGAGAAAAGTGGGGTCTTCTTGAGGCATCTGCTGTCCTGGGGGAGGCCATACTACAGAGAGATGAAGGACAGGGACATTAATGCTGGCCTCTGCCTTCACTCTCTGCTTCCAAAGTTACAGTGAAGTACAGTTCAGTGGAATCTAGATTTTGTATGCATTTTTAAAATGGCTTACTTGGGGCTGGAGAGATGGCTCAGCAGTAAAGAGCACTGGCTGCTCTTGCAGAGGACCGGGGTTTGAGTCCCAGAATCCACATGGTGGCTAACAGCTCTCTGTAACTTCAGTTCCAGGGGATCTGATGCCCTTTTCTCAGGCAATACACTCATACACATTAAAAAATAATAATAATAAAAATTATGATTCAGCAGTTAAGAGCACTTGCTGCTTTTCCAGAGGGTGGACCTGAGTTTGGTCTCAGCATCCATGTCAGGCAGCTCACGACAGCCTCCAGCTCCAGGGCAACTGACACCCTCTTCTGGCCTCTGTGGGCACTGCACTCACACGCACATACCTATACCCATACACTTATACACATAATTTTAAAAAATTGCGTATTTTTTCTATTTGTAAATGTTAAAGCCATTTCTTTTTGTACTTTAACTTCTGATAAAAATCAATTTCAAATTTTACAAATCCAGCTTCTGTATTTGGATAAGGTTATATACACAGGGCAGGTTGTATTTCTCTTTGTTTGGGTCTCTCCTTCCTTTCCTCCCTCATTTTCCCTCCCTCCCTCCCTCTCTCCCTCCTCCCCATCCTCTCTTCCTCCCTTCTTCCTTCTCTCCCTTGCTTATTATTTTTTGAATGTCTGCTGGCTCAGGTAGGATTAACATTATAAAAGAGATCAATATTCTACAAATGTACACATACACACAGGCAAGCAAAACACTTGTACAAATAAAAAATGAATCTTATAAAAAACAGTTGCAAAAATCATAGTGCCATATAAACATAAATTAGAGTTTAAACTTTTCATGTGACGAATTCCTTTGCTATCATCATATTCTCTTTTTTGTGGTGAGCTCCTCCCTCTCCCCAGGCAAGAGTGCGAGGAGGATAACGCTTCTGCATCTGAGTGGTGTTAAACTGTCCTGTGTTTTCCAGCTCTCGGCCCACTCCTAGAACTAGCACCACAGTGGGGTTGAGTCCTGGAGCGGATGGGAGCCCGAGCTCACCACCGAAGACATCTCCTTTATCCAAGGTGGGTATGGATGGGACTTTTTGGTATGTGTTATGCTGTGGAAACTCAGAAAAATAAGCTGATGTGTGAACCTTGCCAGGCTTACCTTTCTGATGACATCATCCATCCTTGTCACCCCTGGCATTTCTAGCAAGCAGAGACCTGGTAGTTGCTTCATGGTTGTTTCTTAGCAGTAGTTATTTTTTAAATTTTAAAATATTTTCTTTTTTTAAAAAAATGTGTATGAGTGTATTCGTTTATGTATGCGAGTGCACTGCGGAGGTGAGAAAAGAGCTTCGGATTCCCCTGGAACTGGAGTTAAGGACGGTTCGTAGCTGCCCTTTGGGTGCTGGGAATCGAACCTGGGTCCTCTGCAAGAGCAGTCAGTGCTCTTAACCACTGAACCATCTCTCCAGCCCCATAATTCACTCATTTAAAGTGGACATTTGGGGGGTTTTTATTCACAGAGTTTCACAATATGATCTCAATCATTTTAGAACTTTTCCATTATCCCACAAAGAGCCCTGTCCCATCAGCTATAACCACCTCCACTTCTCCCCACTTCTGTCCTGGTACCCACTAATCTCTGACTTTCTAAATATCCTAGGCTATGTAGTCTTTTTAATTAGTTAGTTAATTAATTAGATTTTAAAATTTTATGTGTATGAGTGTTCTGCCTGCATGTAAGTGCACCCATGTTGTGCAATGCCCATGGGGGCCATAAGAGGGCATCAGATCCCCTGGAACTGGAGTTAAGGATGGTTGTTAGCTCCCATATGGGTTCTGGGAACTAAATCTGGGTCCTCTGCAAGAGCAGCCAGTGCTCTTAACTACCAAGTCGTCTCTCCAGCCCTTTTATTTTATTTCATTCTGTGTGGGCATGATAGGTATGTGTGTGTGATACCCATGTGCCATAGCACATATGTGTAGGTCAGGTGATGGCTTTGAGGACTTGGTTTTCTCCTTCCATCTTTATGTGTAGGGATTGAACCCAGGCTGTCAGGTGTGTGCAGTAAGAGCCTTTACCACTGAACCATATCACCAGTCCCTGATCCTGATGTCATATTATTGACTCTCTTCACCTGCCAGCTATTACCCAGCTGTAGCAGCACTGGTATTACCTTCCTTTTAATCCCAATCTGCTGGTCCCACGTGCTCTTTGCACTGGTCAGTTGGTGGCTATTTATGGTCATGAACGCCATCTTTGCGGGCATGTTTGCATTTGTTCAGGTGCGCATCTAGCAGTGTGGTTACTGTGATATGTGACACCTTGCTTTGACTCTTTCAGGAACTGCCATCCAATCCAAAGTAGCTATTCATTTTACGTTCTTACCAGCAGTGGATTTGGTTCTAATTTTTACAAACCCTCAGTTATTGTTTACCCTTTTTTTTTATTGAATTGGGTAGAAACTGGACAGATAGCTCAGTGGTAGAGGATCTTTTGTTTGGCGAGTGCAAGGCCTTGAGTTTGACTTCCAGCACCATAAAAACAAAAAGAAAAAGCAAGCAAAAAAAGAGAAAAACCCAGACATATTACATCAGTTTTACTCTGCGAATGTTTGTAAGTGCGTGTGTGGGTCAGGGGCACTAGCACAGTGATGTTGCTGCACAGCTGGCCTCCTGTCCATCCCAACCCTGTTGCCATTCTAAACTGAAACTGTGCTCATTGAACTTCTCTGCCTTCAGGGTTCATCTGTATTGTACCATATGCCAGACTTGGATTCCTTTTTGTGACTGAATAATATTCCCTTTAGTCTACTCACCATGTTTGCCTTTCCTTCCTTTGGTACATGGGACTCTCCACCTCAGGACTGTGTGACCAGCCTGACTTTGTCTTTTTGATTCTAGCTGTCTTAATGGGTGTGAAATTCCATCTTATTGTGATTCTGATTCAAATTTTCCTGGTGGCTAATGATGCCGAGAAACTTCTTACATCTTCAGCCTGGAGCTTGCTGCCTAACTCTTCCTCACCAGTGCTGGAGTACAAGTGTGAGCTATCGCACTTCACTTTTTCATGTGGGTTCTAGGACTTGAACTCAGCCCCTCATGCTTATGTGACAAGACCATTACTGTCTGAGCCATGTCCCCAGACCTATATTTTTATTTTTGAGACAGAGTCTTACTAAGTTGCCCAAGCTGGCCTTGAACTCAACTTTGTAGCCCAGGCTAGTCTCTTGTGGTCCTCCATCTCAGCTGCCAGAATAGCTGAAATTAGGGCTGTGCTAAGCCACATGTGGCCATCTCTCTGCCTTGTAAGTCCATTCTTGTAACTCACATCTTGTGGTTCTCATTAGTGTTTTCGTTCTGAGCGTCCAGGACTGGCTCCTGGGTCTGCTGGCTTCACTTCACTGACACTCCTGTGTCCACCTTCAGTTGTGCAGTTTCTTTTCCTCACTCTTTTATCACTAATTTGGTTCATCCTGTTGAAGTCCGTAATGCACACAGCCTTTTCATGATTATCGTTTTTATGGGTGTATATTAAGGCATAGCACTCGGGATAAAAGGTCTAGTTAGGCAGAGCACAGAGCCAAATGTCTAAGAAATAACTTACAGTGCTCATTTGGTTGTTCTTTCTTTATATACCAGCTTTAGGGTTGGAGGTTGGGGAGATGGCTTAGTGGGTAAAGCACTGGCTGCTAAAAGTATGAGGCCTGGGTATTCAGATCCCCAACCCATGTAAATGCTGGGTGAGTGTGGCAGCTGCCTGTAGTTACAGCACCTGGAGGTCAGAGATGGGAGAGTCTCACCCAGAGCAAGCTGGCTAGCTAGACTGATGGAGTAGGTGAGTCTGGGTTCAGTTGAGAGGTCCTGCCTCAGTGAAGATAAGGCAGAGAGCAATTGAGGAAGACTTCTGATGTCAGCCTCAGGCCTCCACATGCACATACACACGTGTTCATTCTCACACATATTCATCCGCACAGTAAACTCACATATGCACATGCACACCACACATAGACACATGCATGTGTTGGTCTTTTCTTTCCTTCCTTTCTTTCTTTCTTTCTTTCTTTCTTTCTTTCTTTCCTTTCTTTCTTTCTTTCTTTCTTTCTTTCTTTCTTTCTTTCTTTCTTTCTTTCTTTCTTTCTTTCTTTCTCTTTCTCTCTCTCTCTCTCCCTCCCTCCCTTTCTTTCTTTTTCTTTCCCTCCCTCCCTCCTCCCCCTCTCTTTCTCTTTTTCTTTCTTTCTTTTTTTGAGACAGGGTCTCACTATGTAGCCCTGGCTGGCCTGGAACTAACTATGTAGTCCAGCTGGTCTTGACCTCACAGAGTTCAAGTGCTTCTGCCTCCCGAGTCTGGGATTAAGGCTTGGACCACCATGCTCCAGTCTTAATGTTTCATTCTTTAGTAGTCAATAATTTAGCCAAAACCTAAATGCTATGTAAATTTATAAATGATCAGTAAGATAGAAACACTTGGTTAGAATTCTGTGGATGAAAGACACAAGCAATTTTCATCATAAAAAATTAAACAAAAGCTGGGTGTGCTGGTGCATGCCTTTAATCCCCAGCACTTGGGAGGCAAAGGCAAGCGGGCAGGCAGATCAAGGTCCCTGGCCTACATAACAAGTTCCAGGCCATCCAGGGCTACATAGTGAGACCCTTTCTCAAACAAGAAAGAAAGAGAAAACAACTACTGACGCCCAGGTTGTCTGGACTTCATAGTGGTCCTCCCCATCTTACCAGCTCTCTGTCGGTCACAAATGCATGTGTGATTTTTTTCTTGTTCCAGATGACACGTGGGCACGTGAGCCAGGGAACCCTGGAATCCCAGATGAGAGAGCTGATCTACACGGAATCAGATCTTGTCATCACCCCGATTATTGACAATCCCAAGGTGCAAAGAGACGCCTAGCACTGAGGGCTGCGTGGTGACTTCTTGGGACTGCAGTCGGTGTGATAGTTTCACTCGGAACTCTGCCTTGTTCCTCTCCTGTTCTTCTCCCTGCCTGCTTGTCATGTGCATGCCACATGTCCCACTGCTCTGCAGCCCTGCCTTCTCCCTTTGCCTGCATGTCACTGTGGTAGGGTCTTTCCTTCCTGCCCTGCTTCTCCTAACCCATTTCATCCTATGCTGAAGATGACTACTGACCTCTAGAGCCCATACCTTAGCTCCCAGCATCTTTCCAGCCATATTTTTTACCGAGTGGGCTGTGCCAAGTGTTGGGGTCACTGAGCAGGGCCCCCTGGCTGGGGAGGAGTGGGCAGGTCACACAGAGACCCAGCCTGACACATGGTGTCTGGACTGAGGGGTTGTCTATGGGGAGACCAGGGGCTGTGCCAGCTCCCCGTCCTCTTATAACTTAGTATATGCCTTGCTGCTGTAACAGCGTTGCTGAGGGGTGTCAAGGACTCAAGGACATTGAGTCTCTCAGTCTCTCTTCTCTCCTTTGAGTCCTAGCCCCTACATGTTCACCCTCTACCTCCTGCTCTGTGTTTTATTCTTTCCGCTTTCTTTTCTGTAAATGTCTTTTTCCACGTTAATTCCCAGTAGCTTCCTTGTCTCACTTGGGAACGTGTGGATTGCCTTAACAGCCAGTTCCTGGTTTAGATTTCTTAACTGTGGTATAATGGACTCAAGTCTTTTATGAGTTCACAGTCTGGCAGAGTGACGGATTTTGCTAAATCTTATGGGTAATGGGTTGTTTTTCCCTTGGACTTTCTAGAACAGTCTGTCATACCATTGGCTGGTATTCTCTTTCTCTTTTATTTCTGGGAAACCTTAGCCAGTAGAAATTTGTTTTTCAACACCTCCCCCCCCCCTTAAGTTTTAGACTTAGGGAAAAGGTTCATGATTGGTGAAGGGCTTGCTTACTTTTTACCCAGTTGGTCCTAATGTGAGTCATCTGAAGGCACTCAGGGTAGTTGACAGACCTGGGGGGTCAGTGACACTACAGTGCTGTCAAACTAACACATTTTCAGATGTTAAGCTTTGTACCTCTGATGATTATGTGCTCTGTGTCCACATCACACCTGAGGTTCCTTTGGCTCCCGAAGTTGGCCCCCTTCTATTATGGCCCATGGCACTTCCTCAGTGTTCTGTGACCTTGGCACTGGGGTGAGTGATGTCAGGTGTTCTGTGGAGCCCCTCAATTCAGATTTTCCTAGGATTTCTCATGGTTAGAATAACATCATGAATTTAGAGCATGATAGCAGAAGTGTCATTTTGATCAGAATGCTATCCATGAGGATTTTATGGCAGAAGTTCGACACAGAAATGGTCAAGCTTTTCAAGGTGTAGTACTCTCTCATCTATCTCTCACATTCAACTATGTGGTTTCTTCCTCAAATAAAACTTGTGATAGCTTCGTCATGTGTTCATGACTAGAACTGCTCTTCTCAAATGCAGCCAACAAATCCTAATTGTCCTTTAAGCCCGCCTTCCACCCCTTCACTGCCCCGTCCACACCACGTCAAGCCTCAGTCTACTTCCGCCCCTTCTACTGCCCCGTCCACACCACGTCAAGCCTCAGTCCACTTCCGCCCCTTCCACTGTCCTGCCCGCACCATGTCAACCTGACACACTTACTCTTTTCTCTGTTATTTTGTAAGAAATTGCTCTTGATGAACTATTTGTCTATAATTTTGTTATGACTTTTTTGAATTGTTAAATATTTAGTATTTTATCATTTAACAGATATTTGTATTTTTCTCAACCAGAGTATCAGTTCTTCAATGATAGGGTCACATTTTTAATAGCTTTGCACCCCCTTTGCACAATGACTCGCTATGACAGGTACCCAGTAAATATATTTTTAGATGCCTTAATGTTTAACCTAGAGGCAAATTAGTTTAAATGTCCAGGAAGCCAGCAGGGGGTAGATCTTTCTGTAAAGCTTTAATTTATTGACGATATAGATTGAAATGTTTTAAAAATAAATAATCTGCACTTGTATACTTTAATATCAGATGGCACTCTTGGCTTCTTTTTCTCTTCTTTCTGATGTTTTGGGTAAGGTCTCATTCTGTAGCCTGACAGAACTCTGCATCCACCTATCTCTGCCTCCTGAGTGCTGGGTTGCAGGTGATATAGAACAGATATTTTCTTGAAAAGGTTTCTCAAGAGTGTTTTTCCCCTACTGTAGATAATGAAGCAACCTGCAATCAAATTTGACCCCAAAATATTGCACCTGCCAGTATATTCAGGTAGGTTTTGCAGGACTCATCAACATGCAGGCTTTTGTGCACAGATTGCAAATATGAAACCTATTTGAAAGTGGAATATTTGTATAGGGTTAACAGATTTCCTGTTTTCTTGCCAATGCTCTTGGGCACCATTCTGCAGATTGAAAGCCATTTGTAATGCACCTGTGCCGTCCTTTGACCCTTCTCAGCCATCTGGGCTGCCCTGCACTCTTGTGGGTGGGAAGTTCCTGTGGGGAAGTTTCCCCGTGAGTGGGTGGAGGGTCTTTCTGGTAAAGCAAGTGAAAAGTCTACCTTTTATGGTGGTGTTGTGGTTGTCCAGAGCTGGAAGAATTGGGATTGTACCTGAGGGACCAGGACAGGGGAGAGGCAGGACTGTGGGGATGGCATCTGGGTAGAGACAGGTAAAGGATGGTGGTTGAGGGACCAGAACAGGGGAGAGCAGGACTGGGCCGTTCACCCCTGTGGGGACGGCATCTGGGTAGAGACAGGTAAGGGATGGTGGTTATTTCACTTCAGCCAATGAAAGTCTCATCTAGGGTGACTCAAAACTTTGATGTATTTTGGGTTGATCTATTTAGTGGAATAAGTTGTACTTTAAGTTGAGCTAGATCTGGGGAAATTTCTTCACTGGCTTGAAATAAATTCAAAATGCACAAAATATGTTCTGATTTAAATAAACCAACTGATAATTTGTGCATGTTGAGCCATACACAGACACAAACCAAGAGCCAAACCCTGTGGAGGGCAGTTCTGAAGGACCAAAGCAAAACAGAATTAATAGTGCTGCTAGTGCCGAGGCCCTGTATGTATGAAGCCTAGAGAATTACTTTAAGACCATAAACTAGGATCCACTCCTCCTGCTTTTCATTTTGTTGTTGTTTTTGTTTTGTTTTGTTTTTGAGACAATGTCTCCCTTTAGCCCCAGCTGACCTGGAACTCACTGTGTAGACCAGGCTGGCCTTGAACTGACAGAGGTCCATCTGCCTCTGGTTCCTGAATGCTGGGAGCTAAACTTGACAGTCTTAATGAAATATTTTATTGAGATGTGCTGAAATTTTAATCAAAAAATTTAAATGACAATTTATTAATTTAATGTGTTTGTATGTATGCATGCGCGTGCACACACACACACACACACATAACTACACACTGGAGGTCGGAGAACAACTTGTAGGAGTCAGTTCTCTCCATCTACCATGAGGGTTCCAGGGAATGAACTCAGGTTATCAGGCTTAGTGACACGTGAGTTTATCTGCCGAGCTCTTTTTACCAGTCACCAACCCCTCTCTTTTTTAGTGCTAAATTAAAAAAAAACTTTTAATTAAAATTTTGATTTTCATACAATATAATTTGATGGCATTTAGATCCTTCTCTGCTACCTGCACCTCCCTTTATTATTCCCCCATCCAATTTAATGTACTCTATTATATAATTTATCTATCTATCTATCTATCTATCTATCCTATCTATCTATCTATCTATCTATCTATCTATCTATCATCTCTCTCTATCTTTAATGTACTCTATTATATAATATCATCTATCATCTATTAGTGTGTACCACTATCTATCTATCTATCTATCTATCTATCTATCATCTCTCTCTCTCTATCTTTAATGTACTCTATTATATAATATCATCTATCTATCTATCTATCTATCTATCTTCTATCTATCTATATCTAAATCTAAATCTATATCTATATCTATTATCATTTATATCTATCTATATCTATAGATGCAGGTCCTTGGCACTAGCAGTAACATTAATTCTGTTTTGCTTTGGATCTTGGTTTGTGTCTGTGTATGAGCTCAACATGCATATATATAATAAGGCTTACGGAGTCTAATTTGTGACCCTAAATGTCCTTCAGTGTGGGTCCATCCACTGGAGCTTAGCTGATCTACTAAGGGTGCCATCCTTGAAAGAGCCTGACTCTCCCTCTCTCAGCAGCCATCGGTTGCCAAAAGTTCCTTAGGTTGGGTTGGGGTTTCTTACCCACTTCCCCATGTCTATGCTGGGATTTTGTGTGGTTTGAGCTTGCATGGGACTTGTGCATGGTGTCACCATTGCTGTGAGTTCATATGAGTAGCTGCCCAGCTGTCTGGAAAACTGTTTCCTTGTGGTCTTGCACCACCTCAGGCTCTTAAAATCTTTTTGCCTCCTCTTCCACAATCACCCATGGACCTTGGGAGGCAGAAGTTTGAAATAGTTTTCCTATTCAGGGATGAGCACTCTGCAGCCTCTTGTTCTCTGCACATTGGCCAGTTGTGGGTTTCTGTGTTAATCACCATCTGCTGCATAAGGAAACTTCTCTGATGAGAGCTGAGAGATGCATTAATCTATGGGTACAATAAGTCATTATAACATTAAAAATTTAAAGCCTGCGAATTCATGGAATCTTCCTTAAGAATCATGGTTTGTTTTATTGTATTAATTTTGAGTTTGAAGATAATAAGAGTTCTAAGAGGCTGGCATAGAAAAATCTCCAGAAGAGTTACTGAAAAATGGAGCAAAGAACATTTGAGCTTGAAGACTTTTCTGGCTTTTCCTTCCTGTGGCTCATAGTCTAGGCAGACAGGTTCAGGGACAAGACAAAACAAGGCCCAGCAGTTGAGAGACAGAGGCAGATCTCTGTGAGATCCAGGACAACCTGGTCTACATAGTGAGTTCAGGCTGGCAGGCTGGGGTTACAGGGAGACCCCGTCTCAAAACAAAACAAAAACAATAAAAAACCCCCTAGAGAATTGCTGTTATTACTACAAAATAATATATATTTACTTTTAAAAGGTTTTATTTATTTATTTATTTATTTTTATTTTGTATGTATGAGTATATTGCTTGCATGTAAGTGCACCCATGTCATGCAATTCCCGCTGAGGTCAGAAGAGGGCATCAGATCCCCTGGAATTGGAATTACAGGTGGTTATTAGCAGCCATGTGGGTGCTGGGAACCAAACCCACGTCCTGTGTAAGAGCAGCCTCTCTTAACCACTGAGCAGTCTCTCCAGCCTCAATATATATTTACTCTTTTTCACCTTTGAGTTAGAGAGTTTTATAATTTTTTTTGTTTTTGTTTTTTTCATTTTTTTCATTTTTTTTTCTCATTGCAGCTGGTTTGTTTGTTAGTTTGTTTGAAGCAGGGTCTCCCTGTAGCCCCAGCTGTCCTGGAACTCACTATGTAGACCAGGCTGGCCTTGAACTCACAGAGATCCGCCTGCCTCTGCCTCCCAAGTGCTGGGACTACAGGCATGCGCCACCACGCCCGGCCAGTTTTATAATTTTTTATAAACTATTTTGTTTAAAGACAGAGATAAGCTAGGATCTGTACATTCATTTCATTTTATTTTTATTTATGTATATGTGCCTACATGTTAGTATGCACATAAGTGCAATGCCTTCAGAGTCCAGAGAGGACGTCAGATCCCCGGGAGTTGGAGTTATAGGCGGTTGTGAGTCACCTGACTTGGGTGCTGGGAACTAAACCCAGGTTCTGTATATGAACAGCAGGAATTCTTAAGCACTGTGCCATCTCTCCAGCCCCAGATCTGTACATTTGGAAGCCATTTCTAAGTGTCTCTCATTTTTATGGGGAGCTGGAGGCTAGAGTTCCAGGTTCCCGCAGCTGTCCTGTCCTTTTATCTTGGCTCTGTTTCTCAGTAGTTCACTGGAACTTCTTTCAATGGGTGTGGTGGAAGATGGGTGAGTGTGCATATGTGTGAGTGTGTGTGGAGGCCAGAGGACTTCAGGTGTCATCCTCAGAAACACTGTCCACTTCCTCTGATGCAGGGTCTCTCATTGCCCTAGAGCTCATCAGTTAGGCTGGACTGGCCTCTCAGTGAGCTGCAACATCCCCTGCTTTTGTCTCCCCAGCACTGGCATTACAAGTGCCTGAGGCTTTCTCATGTAGGTTCTGGAGACTGAGTTCGTGTGATCTCCCTAGCACTTCCCCACTCCCGTGAGTTTTCCTTTGCGATAGTTAGGAAGTCTCCCTGGGTGAAGAGATGAGGTATATAGGAAGACAGCCAGAGAAGAGGTCACCTTGGGACCCTTTTGTTTTCTGAGTGTCATGTGGTGATTTTGTCCTCTTCTCTGCTCTGAAATGTTCTACAATGTCCAGGTGACCCCTTCTCATGTCACACGGGCTCTGCTTCCTCTCCTCTGCAGTGGAGAAGTTGTTAGTTCTGAAAGACCAGGACTGGAACGACTTTCTGCAGCAGGTGTGCTCCCAGATTGACTCCAGTGAGAAGAGCACCAGTGCAGCACGGGGCAAGTTCAACCTGCTGTGCTACCTGTGCATGGCAGCCACGCACAAAGAGGTGGCCACCAAGCTGCTCCATTCCTCTCTGGTAGGTACTGGGAGGCTAATGTGGCTTCCAGGGACCCCCACATGCCTCCTGCATTGTGTTTTTAGTGACATTAAAACAAGGGTTTGGGGTTGAGGTGTGGCTCAGTGGTAGAGCAGTGGCTTAGTATGACTGAAACGCTGGGTTCAGTCCCTGTTCTAGTTTGCTTCTCTATTGCTGAGAAAGAACACTGGCCAAAACCAACTTGGGGGCACGTTATTTCAGCTTATAAGTAACAGCCCATTAATTGAGTGAAGCCAAGGCAGGAACTCAAGGCAGGAACTGAAGCAGAGGTCATGGAGGAATGCTGCTTACTGATTTGCTTAGCTACTTTTTTTTATATAGCCCAGACCCACCTGTCCAGGGATGGTACTGCCCATGTGGGCTGGACTGTCCTACATCAACTGGCAATCAAGAAAATGCCCCACAGACATGGCCATAGGCCAGTTCTTCATTTGAGGCTTCCTATTCCTAGTTGTCTCTATTTGTGTCAAATTGATAAAAGCTAACCAGCACAGTCTCCCAACACTATAATATAAATGAAACACCACCAACAGAAAAATGGGGGCTAAAATATTTTACTTATTTTTGCTGTGGGCCTGGGGATTGAGCCCAGGGTAGGCAAGTAGTCTGCTACTGAGCTGTAGCCTAGTCCTAGTTTTTACCTTAAATTTTGAACCAGGCTTTGACTAAGTTTCCCAGGCTGGCCATGAACTCTCCCTGTAGCCCAGTCAATCCTTGAACAAGCCTGAACCAGTCAGGCTGTGCTCCTCTGGTCTCATCCTCCAAAGTAACTGGCATTATAGGCCTGTGTTATCTGGCACAGTGGGTCAAAATACTAAATTCCATGTAATTGCAATGAAAAAAGTGGGATTTTGAACACTGGCTTTTGTAATACTGAGCTTGATTTTTTTGTTAAGTGATAATTGGGAGATACAGTTCCTTTTGCAATCATAGGAAGAACCTTCTGTGATGCAGTGAATTCAGGGTATGGGGCTCCTGTGCTGGGTCACTAGGGTAAACACATGTTTCTGAGGTGTAAAGGGGGACGTTGAGCCTATGAGCCTTTTGCTTTCTGTTCCTCTGGGAAGGCTGTTTCCTGATGGGCCTCAGCGCACTGGTAGCCCCTGGGTCAAAACTTCTAAAGTCACCCTGTGGGAAGAATGGCAGTGTGCCTCTGTGTGTGTGTGTGTGTGTGTGTGTGTGTGTGTGTGTATATAGAGACCCCAAAGCTGGCTTGAAGAAATTTCAGCTCCTTTTGCTTCCAAGATGATGTGGAGGTTACTTGTGGGTGTGTTGTCTGTTGGATGTAGAGGTTACTTGTGGGTGGGCAGGCATTTAGGGAATATAAATTAGGAAAAAATGAATGTCCCATTCTTAATTTAAAAAAATATTTATTTCAGTTTTTAATTATATGCATATGGGTAATTATATGTATGGGTATGTGCATGTGAATGCAGTGTCTGTAGAGGCCAGAAGAGGGCATCAGATGCCCTGGAGCTGGAGTTACAGGTGCTGTGAGCCATCAGATGTGGGTGCTGGGAACTGATCTGGGTCCTCTGCAAGGGCAGCCAGTGCTGTCAGCTGCTGCACCTCTTCTCCACCTGACTTTTCGTTTGTGTCTTTACACACTCCATCTGTTACATTTTTTTAAAAAAATATTTTTTTATTATTTTTATTATATGTGTATGAGTGTATTGCCTGCATGTGTGTAAGGGTACCTATGTTGTGCAATACCCGTGGAGGTCAGAAGAAGGTGTCAGATCCCCTGGAACTGGAGTTACAGACATACATAACAGGTGTTAGCTGCCATTCCCAAGGGTGCTGGGAATCGAACTTGGGTCCTCTCCAAGAGCAGTCAGTGCTCTTAACTGCTGTGCCATCTCTCTAGCCACCCCTCCCCCATGTGTTACATTTTTAAACAATTATCTCCTTGGTGCACAGCTCATGCTTCAGTTATGTTAAGTTCTTTCACTCAGCTATTACTTTTGGTGTTCCATGAATTAAACCTATATTTTAATTTTTTAATTCTAGTTCCAGCTGCTAATCCAGCATTTGCGAGTAGCTCCAAACTGGGACATGTAAGTAGTACTCACATTTTAAAGCACATTCTTTGTGATTTATGAAGTAACTGTCATAGTCACCTTTCACAAGCAGAGTTCCAAGTCACTGTCCTAAGTTATTCTGAGGTAACCGTGACTCATTCATAGGCACTTGTAAAGAGGCGTGAAGGTCACCACTGCCCTGTTATAAAATCTAGAATTACCACACCACATCCAGGAACTCTGTCACTGCCACTCTCTTGAGTGTGCACTGGGAAGCAAGGCCTGCCTTTCAGCTTTTCCTTCATATGAGGTTTCCTCTGGCCTCGGTCTTTCCCTGGTGTAGCTAGCTGTTGCTCCCCAAATGGTTATCCATACTCTGGTGGGAGCATCATCTAGGACCTGCTGGTGATGGGGTAACACATGCCTGTTCTGTATGGAAGCTGCATGCTGGGGCAAAATGTACATTTCCTAGAGGGTTGGTAGGCTCTGACTGGTCCTTGCTCCTGGGACTGCAACTGATTAGATTTTTTTCCCTGAGTCTTCACTTTCTGGGGCATCTCTGTGGGATACAAAAATTGTGTAGGGTGAGGACTGGGACATGCCTGAGTGTGATCCCCCTGGGAAAATTGCATTCACTGCTAAACCTCAGTCTCCTCATCTGCAAAATGAGATGGAGAGCCGCGGCTTTGAATAGGTGTGGAGCTGTGATTATCATCATCTTCCGAGCTCACTCATCTGTCTCTGGTGACTGTAATCCTGGAGCTCAGGAAGGATGGAGCCCAGGGCTGCTGTGAACTGGGCAGAGGTGTGGCAGTCATTACTCTGCCATGCTGGTGAAATAGGGGAAGATCATAGGGGTTTGCAAAAGGCTATCGGAGGGTAATTATTCTGCTAGAAACAGTAGTCTGCCAGCGTTTCTTTCCCAGGTAAATATGGTATGTAAAACAGAGTTTTAAGGTAATGGCTGAGCATTTTAATATTTGAGAAGATTTGTAGTGTGCTAATTAAAAAGCAACCTTTGCAATCTTTGCTGTTTGTTATTTGGAAGTCATAGCCTTGACTAGAGCGCCCCCTGCTGGCAATAAAACAGAAATTCTTAACCCTTTAAAAGTATTGTTTCAATACTGTTTTCTTCTGTCCTCCACGGGCATTGCACAACACGGGTGCACTTACATACAGGCAATACACGCATACACATAAAATATAATAAAATCTTTAATAAAAATGATTTAAATTGAACTTGATTTGTTTAAAATTTTTTTTGGCGTAGGATCTTACTGTGAAGCCCAGACTGGCCTTGCCCTGATGTTCCTGCTCTCAGCCGCCTGAGTGCTGTGCTCGGAGGCGTGTGCCACCAGCTGGGCCAGTTTTGATGAGGAAAGCAGTGGGCAGTCAGTAGTCAGCCCTCTCTCTGCTGGCCTTTCTTGTTTTCTTTCAAATACATATTATTTTCCATTTTTATTCAGTTTTACATACAGGAAAACAGCATTAGGCATGGCATGGCATGATTTGTGTCTTGCCCCCTCCCCCATAAATGTATACTGTTTTTTTAATAGCCACATACCAGGACTGTGAAATGGATTTATTGAGTGAAACTTTTTTTTTTTTCTGAGACAGGGTCTCCCTGTAGCCCCAGCTGGCCTGGATCTTGCTATGTAGACCAGGCTAGCCTCAATCTCACAGAGATCCACCTGCCTTTCCCTCCCAAGTGCTGGGTTTAAAGGCATTAAACGTCATTGGTGATTGAGACCTTCTCAGATCTTCCTGCCTATGCCTCCCACAGCACTGACGTTACAGATATGCACATGAGCACACTTGGCTTTTCTTCCAGTTCTGCCCAGTGGTCACCAGACGGGATTATGTAGGTCCTGGGGATTCAAACTCAGATCCTCATGCATTTCAGACAGCTCCCTTGCCTACTGAGCCATCCTCCCCAGCCCTGATCCTGCTTAAAAAAATTTTTTTTATTTATTGTTTTTATATTATGTGTGTGAGTATATTGTCTACATGTGTGTAAGTGCACCTGTATCATGCCTGAGGAAGTCAGAAGAAGGTGTTGAATTCCCCTGGAAACGGAGTTATGGACAGTTGTTAGCTGCATGTGAGTACTGGGAATCAAAACTGGGTCCTCTGCAAGAACAGCCAGTGCTTTTAACTGCTGAGCCATCTCTCCAGCCCTGATCCTCCTTCTCAGTGCTGTATATTCCTCAGATGCACCATATGTAAGTGATGAAGTGGACTGGCCCAGGTGTTGGTGACCCACAGTCTCCTCTGCTTGTCCAAGTCTGTCTCTACAACCTCTCCTTCAGTCGGGAGGTGGGTGTAGGGCGCCAGAGTATGACTGGGTCAGGCTTGCTGCTTGGGTCCTGTGCATGCTGGGAGGCCATGTCGCTGAAGAGCAGGTGGGTAGGCTGAGGCTTCTGTAATGGCAGGGTTGTATTTTCCTCCTCAGAACTGGTGTCTCTCAGCTGGTCCCTCCACTAGCTCCAGTATAAGAGGCCCACAGATGCAGCTGTCCACATTTGCTCCTTTGGTTCCCCCAGGGAAGATTGCTCTCCATGGGAACAGTTTTCATGTTTTCCCTGAAGTCCGGGGCTGCTGGGGTCACTCTGTGTCCCAGCAGGAGGTAGAGAGAGGCAGAACCCACTGCTTAACTGTCCCTTCTGCAGTGGTTTCTAGGAGACGGTTGTCCTGTGGCTTATTCCTGTCTGGTGTTAGTTTATCCCCAGTCCCTGGGGCCTGCTTGGGAAAGCAGTTCTTCCCAGTGGTCACCAGGCAGGGTTATGTTCTAGCATTCTCTGTCTACCTAATTTTGTCTGTGGGTCATCGGGTTCCTCACTCTTTCTTGTCCACACTCAACCCTTTTTTTTTTTCCTGTTGCCATGCAGTTAAAAGAATCTCAGACTCTCGAGGGATTGTGCTTAGTTTTCATCCAGAAAAGGAAATTTCTCATAAGTCTTAAATCTTTGTGACCCTCATGATTATGATTTATCAAAGTTTTTGTTATTTAATGTTTACAATAATAGAGGAGCAGCCAGACATGGCAACCCAACCTTGTCATCCCAGGACTTGGGAAGCTGAGGCAGGAGAATCAGACTGCAAGGCTAGTCTGTGGGCTGCATAATGAGGCCCTGTCTCAAAAAGCAAACAATATACACACATATACACACATATATACATGTATATATACATGTGCTTCTAAATGTATAAGTGGACATTTTTGGTTTCTACTGGTTATTTCTGCTTTTCTTCTTTTGTCATTATAGTGAGGCCTGTGTCATTTCTGACTTTGGGATTTCTATGATTTATCTTTGACTTCTAATATAAAATCATTTTTAAAAGTATGCCAGGAATGTAGCCAACTAATAATGCAGCAGTAGTGCTAACCCATTTAGTATATATTGTCAGATTTTGTGGTAATTATTTGAACAACCTGATTATCTTCATATTATTATTATTAGTCCCACTCAAACCTAGGAGGTCACCAGAAACTGGATACGTGAAGGCCGAGTGTCCACCCAGGGTACCAACGCCCCCACTGTTCCTGGCCTTGTTTACTTTCTGTTGCTGTGATAAACACCATGACCAAAAGCAACTTGGGGAGGAAAAGGTTTATTTGGTTTACAGGTTATGTCAAGGGAAGCCAAGGCAGGAACCTGGAGGCAGAACCTGAAGCAGAGACCACAGAGGAATGCTGCTTACTGACTTGCTCAGCTAGCTTTCTTGTACAGACTGGGCTCACCTGCCTGGGATGACACTGCCCACAGTGGGCCTGGCCCTTATATCAACTAGCAATCAAGAAAGTGTCTCACTGACATGCCCACAGGCCAGTCTGAGGGAGAAAATTCCTTATTGAGCTTTCCTCTTCCCACATGACTCTAGTTTGTATCAACTTGACAGAAACTAGCCAGCACTGTACCTAACTATGGACCCTAGGCAGGGCCCAGGACATTTGATTCCTGTGTTGTAAAGACCACTCTATGCAGCTCCCACAAGTGTGGCTGATGTATCATTTATTACTTTGGCTTTGCTGGACTTCTTATGAATGCTGGAACGTGTGTGCATTCACTGTTACTTGCTGAGCCAAGAGTAGACTGACGTAAGTTTTTAGTACTTTGTAATGGTAACCAGTTACTACATGTGATTAGTTAAATTTAACCTTAATTCACATTCACAAATTAAATCTTTAGTTCCTCATTTGCACGAGTCTGTGTGTATGTGTGTGTGTGTGTATGCACATACAGACATACTTTAAAATTTTTTTTATTTTGTTTATTCAGTATTTTATTATTTTTTGGTATGAGAGTATTGCTTATATGTATGTAAGTGCACTCATGTCATGCAAGCCTCAGAGATCAGAAGAGGGCGTCGGATTCCCCTGGAACTGGAGTTATGAATGATTGTTAGCTGCCGTGTGGGTGCTGGGAATTAAACCTAGGTCCTCTACAAGAGCAGCCAATGCTCTTTAACTGCTGAACTATCTCTCCAGCCCCTTGAGCTTGTCTTTAAAACAAGGTAAAATGTGTTCATATCTTCTGATTCTTTAGTGAGTTTTTTTTTTTTTTTTTTTTTTGTTTTTTTGAAACAGGGTTCCCCTG